GAAGGCTCTTAAATCCTAAACCCTAAACCCTAAACCCTAAACCCCGGTCTTGCAAAGGCCGATAGAACCTAAACCCTAAACCCTAAACCCCGGCACAGGCAGGTAGATCCTCTCCAAACCGTAACCGAATCTAAAGACTAAACAGGTGTCACGTACAGCCCCTTAGAAACAGAGCATGCCGAATGGAGAGCCAAAAAGCAACGTAGCGGATCGCCAGCTGACAGCATCAAACACAACTGGCACACCGTCAACCGACATCCTGTAGTCAGCATCAAACACAACTGCCACACCTTCAACCGACATCGTCTACTCAGACTCACACCGGAAACAAACAGCAGCAGCAAACAACAGAGAGCAGGCTACAACAGAGAGCAGCAAAGAAAAGAAACGATGGCATCAAACACAACTGGCACACTGTCAACCGACATCTTGTACTCAAACTCACACCGTCACCGTCACAGCAGAAAGAAAAGAAACGACAGCATCAAACACAACTGGCACACCGTCAACCGACAGCATGTACTCAGACTCACAGCGGAAACAAACAGCAGCAGCAAACAACCGAGAGCAGGCTACTCTGGAGGCACGACATGGAAACCGTAGTCGTTATCGCCGGGACCGATGTGGACCACCGGAACCAGAATGTCAATATCCTCCTGCCTGTCAATAAGCATAAGCTCCGAGCCGAAGTCATCAAAATGAAAGTGGCGTTCGTCATCCAGGTGCCTGAGAAGGGATGCACTGTCGAGGAGATGATGACGGAACGCGTCAACCTCTGTAATCTCTGGTTGACTCACGAGCATATTGTCCTCCCCCTGTGGCCCAGTGGCCTTCTCGAATGGTTCAGGCGGGACACTCAGCCGAATTGTGGACGAAGACGAAAGTGCGGGAAGTTCAGAGAGCGTGTGGCCACAAAACGGACAGCAGCCCGTTGTATGCGAGGCAAGACGAAGCTGCAAACTTGCATACTCAATCTGCAATTGTTTATGCCTCTTCTGCAAGAACAACATTTCAGGCAGGATGATGTTCAGAGGGTGTCTCACATCCTCATCCGCAGCAGCAAGCAGCAACCTACCAACCGTGAACCTCAACCTGTGAATATCAGAAGCCTGCTGGACAGTTATGTCATATGTACCAGCAGGAGTTTGCTGCAGGAAAGTGGCAGCAAGGAATTCCTCAAATTCTCTTCTRGCGGCCGTCAGCARACCGTAGAGCACCTCAATTGTACACAAAGCTTGAGGCTCGRTGACARCGAATTTCAGTGCTGCTTGCACCTCAGCCTGCACCAAGCGATAAAGTAAGGTCTCACCGACCCACTGCAACTGGCGAATTGTCGACTCCAAATCACAACAGTCAAACGCCTGCAGCACCTGATTGTTTGGTAACATGAACAATGGCTGTACAATCTGTCCAAGATCACCCCTCATATTGGAGATGATCAACAGTCTTCGAATCTGAACATCAAGGCGGACAACTTTCTGTTTCCAGCGGTTCATGCTATCCCAACCAGCAAAATCAGAGTCGACGGTGAGATAGACTATTTTATCCCGGAGGTGGTCAATCTCTTGCTGCTTGAGCGAAGCCATACTCCTCCCTACATCCTCGTCAGCACTCACCAGGGAGGACTTCTTCTTGGGTGCAAACCGGGAAAGTCCTGTCGATGTTGTACTCACCTTCTTTCCGGAGTGGTTGTCATCCAAGATCTGAACCACCTCCTTTCGTGACATTCTAACCTTCTGCAGCAAAGAAACCAACTGTTCATCGTGGACTCGCTGCTGATCAGCAAGCGCCCGCTGCAGGGAATCAATCTCCTGCTGCTTGATGTACAGGAGATGCAGCAGCTCATCAAGGGACCACCTAAGCCCTTCTGCATCCCTATACTCGTGGCCGGAAACCTGCCGCATTTCGAAATCAGACGGGCTTTTGCTCTGTAGCGGGTAGAAGTGAACATCATAGTTCACATCCTGATACGGCCACGCACGGAAAGCGCTACCATGAACAGGCTGAGGAACAGGTCCTTCCATTGTTGGGAGCGACCCCTGCGATCAGCGGACAGACCAAGAAAGACATTAAGACAGTGGATCTCAAACGACACGCTTGACATACAGACCCACGAATTGGTAAACAAAAAAGTAGGAAAGGCAAAGCAGCGCTGCAGTACAGTCCCACCGAGTAGATGCGCAGCCCCAAACAGGCAGGAGAAAACAAAACATTCCTGTCCATCACCCCCAGTCGCCCCCCCGCACCGCCCTGCCCCCCAGCCCCCCGAAAACAGAGTCGATCGAGCGGTTCACTGAGGAAAGAGTTAAAGAAGGACAAATGGCAGTAAGGCACAACAAAGGCAACAATCGTGGCGGCAACCCACACAGACCAGAGAAACCAACAGAGACCAAAGTGAAGGACATGGACTGGGGATGCCTGGACCCTGCACAAACGGCCCCGACAGTCAGCCATTAAGAACTCTCCAACGTGCAGCGCGGAAATGAAGTCGATCCGTGATCTCGTCCTCGAGCTCATCGCTCGAGGGAGGCTCAAAACGGCTCTCAGAAGGTGGAGGAACTGAAGCCGGACACTAAGGATCCAAGCCTAGCATATCCATGCGATTAGCCTCGGCACTAAGCAACACCTCGACTTCGCTGGCACTCCGTACCACCCTCGGCCTATCCTTCGTACACATGCTCATGAGCCGTCCGTGAGCCCCGACATGATCGACGACGATGTCAGGGGGACAGTAGGGCAATGGCTTCGGCACTCGTACACGATGTCTGTCAACGCGCGAAGCCAACGCAACAGTGAGCTCTGCCATTCCGATTTCCAGTTCAGCATTGCGCACAGACAACGATCGAATTTGGTCATGCAAGGCAGCAACCGTTTCTCTCTCTGCAACGGGTGCACGATTGTGCAGAATCCCATAAAACAATTCACGGAGCATTAAGAGTTCATGGGTCTGGGACCTCCTCAAATCCAGTTCGAAATCTGCATGCCTATTCCCAGGCAGTGTCAGGAGGCCCCTATCACGTACCTGCGCAAGCTCAGCGTCTTTCATCTGCAGGCTAAGATTCAGTGTCCTAACTAAGGGAAGGAACTCGTTGTTTGCCACAACAAACTGCAGCGCTGCCCTGCTCTGCACATGCTGAACACGCCTAAGAAGCTCGCGCCCCACCCACTGAAGGTTCAGAACCAAAGCCCCGCACATACCGCGGGACATTTCATGAAGCAGATGCGGGGAGACAACATAAAACAGCGATGCCGCAATGGCAGCGAGCTCACCAGCGACATCAGTATTCGCTACGAAGCTCTTGACCTCATACTCTGCAACTAACGCCCTGCATCTCCACTGCGCAGCATCAACCTGACTGTGAACATCTATCCTCCTCTCTAACCAGGATATCTCAGAGCGAAGAATATCCTTTTCGTGCTCAGCAATGGCAGCCGCTGCATGCTGAATCCCAACGAACTCCTCATCTAAGCGTTGCACATCGACATTCTCGTCAAGTGGAACACGGACATGCCCATCGGCAGTGTTTACACGGTCAACCCGAATGTTCTCCCGGACAATCAACAACGCCCTCAGCGCATTCATAGCAGCCTCATGGATGGACTGTTGCCTACGGATCTGTTTCTTCAGAGCTTTGTTCTCGACTCGCAGGCCTCTCAACGCCTGCAGTAAGTCGCGATGAGAGGCAGGGAAAGAGGAGTCATCATCGAACAGGCTCAAAGGCGACGTGGCACTGTTGCCCGGCCCAGGAGGAGGAATCCCATCAGATATATACGCTGGATTCAAGATCCTCCCAACCGGGAACGAACGCACCAAAGCTCCACCATTATCCATGGCAAAAATGTTGAACCTACGGCGACACAACACGAAAAAAGGAACAATCCTCAATCAGACAACAACCGGGGGGATGTACAGACCACAGAACCGGACGATACATGTATAACAACTCGTCAAGAACGACAACCACCAGAGATGCCACCGGAGTACAGCATATATATATCGACCAGACTTGTGACCACGAATCCAGCGACAGAGACACAGGAATCCAGAAACAAAACGTCACTCGCAGCACACGTTCGAGACACAAAGCACCGGAAGTCGGAATAAGGGAACGGTTCCAGAGAAGTACATTTGGACCACACATGGTACGGAATGCCTGAAGGAGCAGGAGATAGGACAACGACACAGGTGCCAAGATGAACAGATGGGGGCAAATCAACACCAAGGACGATCGGCACACACCATTCCTGAAGGCCACCAACCCAAAAACGGGTCCCAAAGATCGCCGCGACCTCAAGTACAGAGAGACAGCAATAGACCCAACCGTACAACATGGCCATCCCGATGTCGAATGGAGCGAGGCACATCTAGGAATGAACAGACGGGGGCAAATCAACACCAAGCACGATCGGCACACGCCATTCGTGAAGGGCACCAACCCAAAAACGGGTCCCAAAGACCGCCACAACCTCAAGTACAGACATACAGCAATAGAAGCGACAGACACACAGGAATGCACAAACAAAACGTCACTCGTAGCACACGTTTGACACACAAAGCACCGGGAGTCAGAATAAGCGAACGGTTCCAAAGAAGTACATTTGGACCGCCAGGAGAGAATTTGGGCGGGTTCCAAAGAACTACATTGTGATCGCTTTGTAGAGAAGTACATCAGGGCCGCCAAAGACGTACATTGTGATCGCTTTGCTGTCTTTGGACCGCCAGGAGAGAATTTGGGCGCGTTCCAAAGAAGTACACTGTGATCGCAACGTTGTTGGGCGGGTTCCAAAGAAGTACATTGTGATCGTTTTGCTGTCTTTTCGTTTGGAGCGGGTGGCTATGTTGTACGGCTCGGTTTGCCACCAAATGAAAAGGCATCACAACACACAGAGAACCTCAAATCCAGACAAACATCATGACAATCTTCACCACGAATGCACCGACAGACACCAGGTATTAAACAAACAAAACCCATCTGGAAAAAACACTTCACACAGAAGAGATGCAGACAAACATCATGATAATCTTCTCCACGAATGGACCGACAGACACCAGGTATTGAACAAACAAAACCCATATGGAAAAAGCAGTTCATACAGAAAAGACCAGACTCAGTGATAAGGGCAGGGTTCCAAAGAAAAACATTTGGTCCACACAGGACAACGACACAGGTGCCAAGATGAGTAGACGGGTGCAAATCAACACCAAGGACGATCGGCACACACCATTCGTGAAAGCCACCAACCCAAAAACCGGTCCCAAAGACCGTCGTAACCTCAAGTACAGAGAGACAGCAATAGACCCAACCGTACAATATGGCCATCCCGACGTCGAACGGAGCAAGGCAGATCTAGTAATGAACAGACGGGGCCAAATCAACACCAAGGACGATCAGCACACGCCATTCGTGAAGGGCACCAACCCAAAAACGGGTCCCAAAGACCTCCACAAGCTCAAGTACAGAGAGACAGCAATAGACCCAACCGTACAACATGGCCATCCCGATGTCGAATGGAGCGAGGCACATCTAGTAATGAGCAGACGGGGGCAAATCAACACCAAGGACGATCGACACACGCCATTCGTGAAGGGCACCAACCCAAAAACGGGTCCCAAAGACCGCCGCAACCTCAAGTACAGACAGACAGCAATAGAAGCGACAAACACACAGGAATGCACAAACGAAATGTCACTCGTAGCACACATTTGACACACAAAGCACCGGAAGTCAGAATAAGGGAACGGTTCCAAAGAAGTACATTTGGACCGCCAGGAGAGAATGTGGTCGGGTTCCAAAGAAGTACATTGTGATCGCTTTGCAGAGAAGTACATCTGGACCGTGAAAGAAGTACATTGTGATCGCTTTTGCTGTCTTTGGACC